TAACACGTAAATTAATATTTATAGTTTAAATAAAAACAAATAAAATTACCTAACTACCCTCACCCACCCAATCCCTCTTCTTCCCCTTCTTTCTTTCTCTTTCTTTCTTTCCTGCCCTAGGTCTCCACCAGGCTGGATTCCGATGGCTGCGACAAACCCAGCCTACTGGATCTCGTCAGAACCCAGCATGTTGGGTCTCGTCGAAATCCAGCCTGTTGGGTCTCGTTGGAACCCAACCTTGCTGGGTTCGGGGAGACCTAGCCAGATCTGGGTTTGACGAAACCCAGATCTGGCTGGGTTCCGTCGAACCCAACAAGGCTGGGTCTCATCGAACCCAGCTTGGCTGGGTCTCATCGAACCCAGCTTGGCTGGGTCTCCTTTGCTGGGTCTCCCTTGTTGGGTTCTGATGAAACCCAGTAGGCTGGGTTTCCGCGAACCTAGCAAGGATGGGTTCCGACGAACCCTACTGGGTCTCATCTAACCCAGCCTTGCTGGGTTTACCCGAACCCAACTGCTGGGTTCGACAAGACCCAGCCGCTGTTTCGATGCTGGATTCATGTTTTTTAATTCTTCTTTGGATTTTCATTTCCAGTTGTTAATAAATTTGAGAGTTGATTTACAATTTGATTGTATTTTTGTTGGAGTTTGATTAGAGTTTGATTTATATTGTTTATTGAAAGGTTAATTTGATTTGATAAGATTTACTAAGTTTGAGGCTTGAATGAAACCCAGTAACTGGGTTCAATTTCTCAAGTTCTCTTGAGAAAAGAGAAGAAGAAGAAATGGGTTAAGACCGGTTTTGTAAAGGAGTGGAGATGAGAGAGCATTTCGAGAAGAAGAAAAAATGGGTTAAGATTGATTCTGCAGATGGAGTGGAGGTTGATTTTGCAGAGAGTGAAGATGAGAAAGGAAGATGACATGTCGCCAAAAAAAGCCCAAATCAACGCCTTTTAAGTTATTTTTGCTATGTCATCCAAAAAAAATATAAAAAATCTCATGTGGCCAAGTTAACGGCGAAAATTGACAGAAGGACTAACGGAGTGCATTTCGTATAGTTAGGGATCAAAAAAGTGCAAAAAATTGTTGAATGACCAAAATTGTGCAACTCACTAAAGTTGAGGGACCAAATTTGGCATTTAACCTTAGTTTAAGGTTGATGAGTAAAAATTAATTATTCATATTTTAAAACATAAATGTTAGATAAATGCTTATATTTTAATATTAAAAAATAAAATATACTATATTTAAGTCATATAAATAGGACAATTAAAATTAAAACTTATGCCGAATAATCATTTTAATTGATTTTCCATTAAAGATAGAGCTATAAAATCTCGAAGTGAAATCATGTTATGATCCTCCATTGTATTAACAAAATTATTTTGAGAAATTCCTTGATCCATGCTCTTTTCCCCAGGCACTTCAAGCATATAATTTGGGTTTTGATCACACTTATCAAATTCTTTATTCTTGATTGCATGTTGCCTAATATAATTATAAAGTGTAATAGTTGCAACTACTATTTTCCTCTGTGTTGTAAATAAATATTTTGCATGTCAGACAATATTTCAAACCTATTTTTCCAACACCCAATAAATCGTTCAATGACATTTATGAGACAAGCGTGAGCATAATTGAATACTTCTTGATAATCAATTGGTTAGCTTCCACATTTAAAATCAAGAATGTGATACATTTTTCCTTTATAAGATGCCAAATATCCTTTTTGAAATCCCAGCTACCTACCCAAGAGGGGGGTGAATTGGATCCTATCAATTTTTGCTTAAAAACTTGTCTCTTTTTGTTTCAAAACTTAAATCAAAATTTCAACATGTAAACTATTGTGCAAAATAAACAAAGAATAATAAAGTGCAGAAAAATAAAAAGAGAGGGAAGAGAATATCAAGCCGTGATTTATAGTAGTTCCTCCAACCCGAAATACGTCCACTCCCTAAACCTCCTTGCTCGAGAGTTCAATCCACTAGGATTCTCTTGCTTACATGTGCAAGATTAAATCGGAACAAACTTTTGCTTGCGGGTGCAAGATTAAATCCTTACAAGTGAATCTCAACAACTCACTCAACCCCTTCAAGGATTATCACAATCCAAGAAGAAAACTCACAAGAAGAAGAAGAGGAAGATCCTAAATAGTTTCAAAAACAAACTCTGTTTTTCTGTCTTCCTCACTCAAGTCCGTTCTGCATTATTTTTCAGATTTGATTTTTGACGTTGTTTTAATAGTTGGTTGGGAGCTTTTGCAATTAAAGCCTACTTTGCCCTTCAATACCACCTCACAATAGCTCCAATCAGATTTCACCTTTTTTCTTCTTCTTATAACGGACTTTGACTTGTCTTGGAATGTGCTTAGTCATCTGGATCCTTCTAAGGCCCATTAAAACAAAACAAATAATTGAACTGTTAAAATTTTGTCTTCTAGAATTTTTGCTTCGAAGCTAGAAATATTGTTCCGAACTGTTTTCGAAAATAGAACTTCAGGATTGGTTCGAATCAATTCCAATTGGTTCGAACCTAGAACTCTGAATAAGGAGGACATGAATTAATTCTAATCGTGGGGAAAGATTAGAATCCTTGAATTAATTTTCCTGCACAGTTAGCACAAAAATAGATTAAACTCTTTTGAATCATGGTTTTAAATCATCATCAAAATACAAAGAGAACATAACAATCTCCCCTTTTTGATGATGACAAAACCATGCCTTAAAATAATAAAGATAACAAATGTAAGCTCCCCCTCCAAGTATGCTTCCAAATTTCAAAAAGAAATGCACATGCACAAATAAATAATAAAGATAATTTTCATTTAAATTCTTCTCCCCCTTTTTGTCATTAGCAAAAAGAAATTTGCATGTTAGCACAAAGCATAGCATATGGTTCAACCATACAAATAAGCAGTACAAAAAAGTCAGACATTGTAAGAGTACAAAATACTAAAATTATGTGAAGCATTATAAACCAAAGTAAGCACAAAACATTGCATCTGGGTGAATATGATGAACATTTCCTCTTGTTGGATTTTGACAGTGCTGCCACAAATTTTTCTAGTTGAGTCAGCTTTTTGTTCAGGGAGGATTCAAGCATGGAAAAATGATTATTCATTTTAGCTTCAAAGGCAACAAATTTAGAGCTAAGTTCTGCTTCAATTTGGCTACTCAAGAGATCAATGTTGGCTAAGACTTTACCTAACAAACCTTCAACTTCTGGTGGATCACTAATTCTAACCTAAGTATCGTCTTTCTTTTCAAATTTCATTCTTTTTAGTGCAGTTTCAGTTACAGTTTCATCTTCAGAGATTTCTTCACATTGTTCCTTGGAAAGATCAATTCCCCTTTCTTCAAAGAATTTGGTAAGTAAGTGACTATAAGGCAAATATTCTTCACCGGAATTCATTGCTTTTCTCATGTGGCTAATAATCAATGCTCCCAAGTTAAGTTTATTGCCTTTCATAATCAGTCCCATGACATATAGATTTTCTTTTGTAAAACGACCATGTGAACCTTGTCGAGGATAGAGAATTTTTGTCACAAACCACAACAATAGCCTGGTATCAACACTAAAGTGATGAAGATGAATTTTTTCAATAGGACTAACAGAGTTTCCAAACACAATTTTCCTAGTTGTAGGCATTTTGGACTTGTCACAACTCATGATGATTTCATCATGTGAAAGATTAAATAATTCGTTGATATGAGCAGCATCAAAAACCACTTGTTTCCCTCAGACATAAGAGGTAGAAACTGATGTATCAGAATATCTATAGTTCATGTAGAACTCCTTAACTAATCTAAGATAAGATTTGCAATTTTGGGTAGCCAATTCTAACCAACCCATACCCTCTAACCAGCTCTTAATCCTTAGGCTTTGATCATTCAAGATGACATTGGAAATACAGTGTCCAGATAAAATTTTCTTTCTTTAATTTTTCCTTGAAACTTCCCTCATCTGTGTCATCATTTGCCATGAGACATTTGCCATGAGACAAATATGAGCTTCCATACCACTTTCTTCTTTACTAGAAGATGAGTCCTCACTGTAGCTCCATGTGGCAACCATTGCCTTCTTTTTCTTTTTGGCTTTTAGACTCTTTTCATCATTGTTTGGACACTCAAACTTAATATGTCCAACCTTCTTGCACTTGTAGCAGATAATCTCATCCTTTTTACTGCTTTCTCCCTTTCCTTTACTGCTTTTGTAGTTTTTCTTTTGCTGTCCTTGATTCTTCAACTTGTCTTTCCTTAGCAACCTCTTAAACTTTTGAGCAAGCAATACAAATTCTTCATCATCCTCTTCATCACTGTCACTTTCATCTTTGGAGGAGCTTTTGAAAGCTACAGACTTATATTTTCGAGAATCATCATCACTTTAATCATTTTTAATGGCCATTTCACGTGTAAAGAGCTTTCCTTGCAGCATGTCAACAGTCATGGCACTTAAATCATGAGCTTCTTCTATTGTTGTCTTGATTGAGCACCAAGATTTTGGCAAGGAGCGGGGAATCTTTCTAACCTTATCTTCCTTAGGAAGCACCCTATCAAAAAGCTTTAATTCATTAGTGATTTTGGTAAAACGAGTAAACATGTCTTTAATGTCTTCATCTGATTTCATTTTGAAAAGCTCATATTTTTTAACCAACATGCTAATCTTTGATTTCTTGACTTCATTAGTTCCTTCATAAGCCACTTGTAATTTATCCCACATTTCCTTAGCAGACTCACATGCACTAATTCTATCATATTCACTAGGATGTAAAGCACAAAATAAAGCATTTTTAGCTTGAGCATTTATCTGCAGTCTTTTTCTATCAGCGTCATCATATGATGCAGGATCCTTAGGAACAAGTTTGTTATTCTTGTCCCTAACTAATACTTTATAAGGTCCTCTAGCAATACAATCCCACATCTCATAGCTATTTGCTTCTAACCTAATCGACATCTTATTTTTCCAGTATTGATAATTTGTTCCATCAAAATAAGGTGGCCTAGTGATTAAATGACCATCAACAAAATGAGTTTGGGAAGCCATGGATCTACTCAAGATTGTTAAATCTGTTTCTATGAGAACCTCCTCTGATACCAATTGAAATCCCAGCTAGCTACCCAAGAAGGGGGTGAATTGGGTCCTATCAATTTTTGCTTAAAAACTTGTCTCTTTTTGTTTCAAAACTGAAATCAAATTTTCAGCATATAAACTATTGTGCAAAATAAACAAATAATAATAAGGTGCAGAAAAATAAAAAGAGAGGGAAGAGAATATGAAACCGTGATTTATAGTGGTTCCTCCAACCCGGAGTATGTCCAATCCCTAAGCCTCTTTGCTCGAGATTTCAATCCACTAGGATTCTTTTGCTTACGGGTGCAAGATTAAATCGGAACAAACTCTTACTTATGGGTGCAAGATTAAACCCTCACAAGTGAATCTCAACAACTCACTCAACGCCTTCAAGGATTATCTCAATCCAAGAAGAATACAAAACAATTAAAGCAAAAGCTCACAAGAAGAAGAAGAGGAAGATCCCAAACAATTTCAAAAACAAACTCTATTTTTCTGTCTTCCTCACTCAAGTCCGTTCTGTATTATTTTTCAAATCTAATTTTTGATGTTGTTTTAATAGTTGGTTGGGAGCTCTTGCAATTAAAGCCTACTTTGCCCTTCAATGCCACCTCACAATAGGTCCAATTAGATTTCACCCTTTTTCTTCTTCTTATAATGGACTTTGACTTGTCTTGGAATGTGCTTAGTCATCTGGATCTTTCTAAGGCTTATTAAAACAAAACAGATAATTGAACTGTTAAAATTTTGTCTTCTAGAATTTTTGCTTCAAAGCTAGAAATATTGGTTCAAACCATTTTCAGAAAAAGAACTTCGGGATTGGTTCGAATCAACTCCAATTGATTTGAACCCAAAACTCTAAACAAGGAGGACATGAATTAATTCTAATCGTGGGGAAAGATTAAAATCCTTGAATTAATTTTCCTGCACAGTTAGCACAAAAATAGATTAAACTCTTTTGAATCATGGTTTTAAATCATCATCAAAATACAAAGAGAACCTAACACTTTTATATTAGGATAACCAACATCAACAAGATAATATTTGTCTAAAATATAAGAGAGAAGTCATTGATAATAAATAATGAAAATTTTCTTTAAAATTCATTAAGAATTGTGCTAAAAAACTGTAATACAAAATAAATAGAAAATTATTACCATCAAGAGAATGAGGAAACACAAACTTATGCTTTTCCAATGTATGGGTAAAAACACGTGCATCGTGAGTAGATCCAGGCCACCCTGTAACTACAAATGTAAATATCATGTCAAAATTGTAAACTACCATCACATTTTGAGTGGAGATGCCTTTGCGACCTATAAATGGTACTGTTTCTTCTTCGGGAATCATGGCTTTAACATGTGTACCATCAATTGCACCAATACATCTTTTAAAATGAGGCCAAAATGTATTATCTTGTCGAATCTTATTGGGAGTTTTGGTAAAATTATAATCAGGTGGTTTCATAATGTCACTTGAAAACCTCACCATCGCATCAATAACCTCATCAAATTTTCTACTTACTGATTCTCCCAAATGTTTTAAACGATTTTTTACATTTCGATTAGATTGGTTATTTGCACATGTCTAAAGAAACATTGCAAGTGATTCTTCTGCACACATTTCTCTTGTTGATGTTAGGCTATAATTACTAACTAACAAAAAACATAATCCCCTAAAAACATGTGGTTCCATTTTAAATATTTTATAACTCTCACCTGGAATTACCAAAGTCTCTTGCATCCATTGCCAATCTGAAAGTCTTGAAACTCTTGTTATTTGTTTGTTAAGGTATTTCAAAAACATGTGGTTACCTAAAATGATGCCGCAATGTGACTGCACAGTAGCAACAAAGTGACAACAGCATGGAGCTGCAGTTGTGCTACAAGAAATGGCAGCAAACTTCAACATTTTAGTCAATGTTTTAGGTAGTTAATAGTTATTGCATTAGGTAGAAAAATATTATTGCTTTATGTGTAGCCTTCCTCTATAAAAAGGAAGGAAGAAATTGAATGAAAATTAAGTAAGAGAAAGCATGGTTTCTCCTCCCGGTTAGGTGAATGTCAGCACCCTTCCATGTTTATGACTTTATGTTCTATGTCATTTTCTAAGTTCTATTCTCCTCCTACTCCCCTCCAAGTCTTCTCTCAACCCTTTCTTCTATTTCAAAAGTCTAACAATTGCATTAGACCATGACCACATTTATGGTAACCAGAAATCTGTAATTTAGAAGTTATAAAATGTATAGAAATGGATAAAGGGTTTGATTGATTTTAGGTATACAAATCAAAATCCAAGACGCCAGCATTTGAATGATCACAAACTGCCATTAGACCAATCAATTTTTGGTCGTTTCGCTAGAATTGGTCCTGCTCGTGGAAATAACTGAGCTGACTAAGAAAGAAATGCAACTCATGTAATTCTTTTCAGCATCTTTAGGTTCGTATAATCCTAAAATCTTCATTCATAATCTATGCTTCTTTGATGAGAAAATAATGGAAGGCTTTCTGAGGTTTGTTATATGCTTAATCTTGTTCTCCATTATAAGTGGAGCTGCTGCAGTAGATACTATTGTTCCAGATAAATCAATGAAAAATGGTGAAACTCTAGTTTCATCCAAAGGAAGCTTTGAGCTTGGATTCTTCAGAAGTTCCAACGGTCAGTACTTGGGGATATGGTATAACAAACCAGGAACTCGGACAGTCGTGTGGGTAGCTAATAGAGAAAATCCACTTTCTGATGGTGAAGGGCTTCTGGTACTGGACTCAAAGGGAATTCTTGCTCTTCTTAATAGCACAAAGGGTGTCATTTGGTCATCCAATACATCAAGAAGTGCAGAAACTCCAGTTGCTCAGCTCTTGGACTCAGGCAATCTTGTAGTGCAAGAAGAAAAAAATTACAACGAAGATGACTATCTATGGCAGAGTTTTGATTATCCATCTGATACGTTACTACCGGGAATGAAGCTGGGAAAAAACTTAAAAACCGGGTTTGATTGGTTTTTATCATCCTGGAGAAGCACAGATGACCCAGCTCCAGGTATATATTCTATACGTATGGAGACTCAAGGGGTTCCACAGCTAGTAGTTGAGAAGGGTCCTAAAATTCAGTACAGGGCAGGGCCATGGAATGGAATTAGTTTTGCAGGGCGTCGTGCTGAGCCAAATTCTATAATTTCATCTCAATATGTGTCGACTAATGAAGAGGCATATTATAGGTATGAGCCTGTAGATAGCTCAGTTGAAACAATGTTCGTGTTGAATTCATCTGGTCTTTTTCAGTTCTTCTTGACAAGAGGGATTCATGATTGGGAGCTTCTGATGGTGCCTGCATTTGATGTCTGCCAAACATATGCCTTCTGTGGAAAATTTGCTAACTGCAATTTCTATAGATCTCCTGTATGTTCATGCCTGGAAGGCTATTTGCCCAAATCTCCAGAAGATTGGAATTCAGGAAATTGGTCTGGCGGGTGTGTTAGAGAGACACCCTCGGATTGTGAAACAGATATGTTTCTCAAGCATACAGGGTTGAAATGGCCGGATACATCCAATTCCAAGGTAAACATGACAATGAACCTCAAGGAATGTGAGCAAATGTGTTTGACAAATTGCTCCTGCACAGCATATACAGATGCAGATGTCAGATTTGGGGGAAGTGGCTGCTTGATGTGGTTCGGTGACTTGATTGATATACGAGATCTCACACCGGGAGGACAAGACCTCTATACACGGCTGGCACGTTCGGACATGGGTACCTTCTCCTC